CAGGAAAAGATTGGATGGATGGAAAGGCAAATACCTTTCAACTGGGGGTAGGATGGTTCTTAACAAGGCTGTCCTTACTAGCTTACCTGTTTATTACTTCTCTCTTCTTAAAGCTCCTAAGACAGTTATTGAAGATCTTGAGGCTATTCAGAGAAACTTCATTTGGAACGGGGTTGGTGATTCGCGGAAACCTCATCTTATTAGCTGGAAGCTTTGCAAAACCCCAAGATCTAAAGGAGGTCTTGGCCTATGTGACCTCGCTTTATTTAATTCTGCTCTCCTTGTTAAATGGTTATGGAAGTTTGCAGTTGAAGTTAACAGCTGGTGGAGAACTTTGATCAACACCAAATACCATAATAACCTTTCATCGTGGCAGACATCTTATACTAATTCTGGTTTCTCAAGCTCTGTTTGGGCTAATATAGCGAAAGAATATCCTGTATTCTGGAAATTTGCTCAAATTGATCCTGGTGGAGGAGGTCATGTTTCTTTCTGGTATGATAAATGGACTTCAAACTCCCTTCTTGCTGTCGATTTCCCTAGAGTGGCTGCTGCTGCCTCTTTTCCTGCTGCTCGGATCGCTAATGTAGTCTCTTTCTCTAACTGTGAGGTAAATTGGAACATTGTTTTATGTTTTTCTTTGAGAGGTGGAGCGGATAGAGAACGAGAGAGCTTTTTTAATCTTTTAAACAACAGGAATCTGCATCTCTCTGCTAACAGTCCTTGCAGGATTTATTGGTCACCTAAGCAGGATGGTTCTTTTTCAGTAAACTCTACTTACAGACAGTTGATCCGTGAGAACTTCCCTGGTCTGCAGAATTTTGAAGCTTCTTCTATTTGGAAGCCATTTATTCAGAGTAAAATATGTTTTTTCTGTTGGACTCTATGGCACAAAAAAATCTCTACCCTGGACAGATTGAAAAGAAGAGGTTTGGCCCTTGCCAACCGCTGTTCTCTTTGCTGCAGCAATGAAGAGAGTGTGGAGCACCTATTCATCAATTGTGCTTTCATCCAAGAAGTGTGGGGTCGCATCAAGAGAGCAAAAGGTTCGATTGACACTTTGGAAGGTGATATCACTGCCATGTTTAGAGATCGATCTTCTGCAGCTCCCAGCACCATTGACGACTGGTTCAATCTTTGCATCCTCCATGCGATCTTTTGGCTTGTCTGGCTTCAGCGGAATCAGAGAGTCTTCAAGAACTTGCAGTGTTCGCCCAAAGTGATTGCTCTGAAGGTTGTTCGAGTTGTTATTGGCTGGCTTTCGGCTCACTCCAAGATCGACAAAGACCTTGCTTCTGCTTGGATTTCAGAGATCTTGCCTTGCATCTGATTTCTTTTCTTCTCTTTCTCTTTCCACAGCGGAGACGGTTTCGTCCGTCGGGCTGCTTCTTTGTCTTTGTTCTTTGTATCGTACTTATTCTTTCTTTTTCCTCCCCTGCGTGATTTTCTTTTCTGCTTTCTGTTTTTTTTCCTTTTTTCGTCTCTGTCGGGATGTTCTGGGTTCAGGTCTTCTGAACCTTTTTTGCTCATAATAAAATCGCCATTATATAAAAAAAAAAATCCCAGCGAGTTGTCAATCGCGAAGGACCAGACCCAGATGTACCCATTCCTCGATCGACATCGGGATCATCACCGGATCTAGGAGGAGGATTATGAGGACGACAAAGAGGATCAAAAGCGCTAGATGGACAAGAAGGAGAAAGATCAGTACTCGCAGAGCAACAACTACAACAATAAATTGGTCGACAATTATATATATGGACTCGGGGCACTTGGATTCAGATTGTCCATTCGTCGCCGTTAACAACAGGAACAGAAGCTCGGTGAAGGGAACAACACCGCCGACAACCATAGCATCACCACCTCCGTTGTCGCCGTCGATACATTAGCCGGGGATCTCGTACATGGAGAAAATGAACTGCTTGTCCATGGGGAACCAGAGCAAGAGCTCCAGCTGCGATGTTAAATTTTTTAGTTTAATTAATTTTTATAAATAATTAATACAATAAATCATATAAACAAAGTAAGTGCCTAAGTGGAATGATGAAGTGAAAAAATTTATTTTTGATTTTTTTTTAATTTCCACGTCAGCTAGTTAACAGTCAAACTTTGATAGTTGACTGCCACATAGGACAAACTTAACGGAGAGTAACGGCCGGTGACTAATTGTGAAACAATTCATAAAGTTAGTGGCGAATAAGAAAGAAAAGTAATTCAGGTGGTAAACGTGAAAGATTTGTTTAATTTGAGTGACCAAACGTGTAATTTAGCCGTAATATTTCTTTAAACCATAAAACCTTGAATGGTGCATTGAGTAAGTTGCATGTATTTCGATAACTCGGAACCATCAATTATTATTTCTAATTAAATTGATCTTAACGTATAAGATTTAAAGAATTAAGACATAAATTTTATTCATTAAGTTTTGATGTATTGTATAATGTCCGATTTTGCTCAATAAAAATAAAATGTCCGGTTTCGATCAATTTAAGGTCTACTTAATGTTTTCTTACTGCTGATTAGTTACCCTGGATCTAGTATGGGTAGCATATATATATATATATATATATATATATGGTGGTGTCTTCGGTGCACTCACTTTTTTGGGTGCATTCAGTGCACTCGCTTCAAAACCGTCATTTTAAACATGCGATTTATGTCAAAATGATGTCAATCATCACTTATGATCTGATAAACAATAACTCACATGAATTTGCACAAAAATCATTGAAGATTTACTTTAATTTGAAAGATTTAGAGTTTAGAGATCTAGGGTTAGGGTTAGGGTTTACAATTTGGGGTTTAGGGATATGACTCAAAATTGGAGGTCTAGGACTTAGGGTAATCCACTAATTAGTTGTTATCATATGTTATATCATCATATTACACTAATTCTACAAATTAAAATTCAAAATCCGACACCTTAAGACTAGTTTTTGAGTTGAGTGCATTGAACGCACTCATTTTTGTGAGTGCACCGAAGTAGTATATATATATATATATGTATATGGCGAGTTCTACGGTACCCCGGGTGAAATCCCGGGTACCGCATACATTGAGTATGAAAACACTATCCAGACCTTGAATTGACTGATCTTTCTGACATAATACTATACTCTAACCCTTGAAGATCAATATCTAGGTCTTATTTCTCTAAATCTTCTACCCTAAGATCAATTTTATTAGAAACAATAATCGACGGTTATAATTCATCCAAATATAGGCAAAAAAATGAATGTACCATCTTAGGGTTTATAGTTTATGATTTAGATAATTAGGACCTAGGGTTCACTCAATACAGGTTAGGGTATAGTATCATGCCCAAAAATCCTGCTAATTCGAGGTCTAGATAGTGTTTTCATACTTAAGGTATGCGGTACCCCAAATTTCACCCGGGGCACCGTATTTGGCCTGACTTTTAGAAGTACTTTTCGGTTTCAAAAGCTAAAGCAGGGCCAAACACCTCTAAAAGTTCGGTTTTGAAAAGCCGAAAAGCACTTTTGTATAACATAAAAGCAGAAGCTCCGATTTGGAGTTTCTGCGAAAAGCTGTTTTGAAATTACAAGATTATCCATACCATATTTTAATTTTATTTCAGAAAATATCATTTTATTTCATTTATATCATTTTAAAAATAAAGTAAAGTATAAAATAATATTATTTAATATCAAAGAAGTCTAAAAAGATCAATTTTGACTACATTTTATTTTTTATAATTATTATTCATTGTTTATATTATAAGTCCTTTATAGTCATTTTACACAACCTCTTATTTCAAAAAATACTTTTAATAAATTTTCAACCAAACACTCAACTGCGTTTTTTGAAAAATACTTTTCTAAAAGCTCAAGTCAGAAGCTACTTCTGCAAAATCTAGATCAAGGCCAAACTGAGCCATAAAAGATCCCGCAAAACAACTAGTAATTCTAACCATGTGCCTTTCAGCTTTTAGGTCCATAAATAGGTAGACCAAGCCCTAAATTTTATTGTTCATTCATAAAGACACTTCCACCAGCCATTGGACCAAAATTGAATAAGTTAAGTTACTAAAAATCTAATTAATTGTAATTAGTTGTGAAAAGCAAAGTTAATTTGGGAATAGAACAAATACAAGTCAATGAGAAATTTCAAACTTGCAAACATTACTTTGTGATGTTGTCATAATAGTTATCAAAATTCAAACATGTACACCATCGCTAAAATTATATTATAACGTTGTCCTCACTAAATTACCAGTAATCCTGTGGATAGCTTTTAAAACTGAAAAACACCACGACCGTAACGACCCCGATACGACTGAATTTCCATTCTCATTTGTATACCTTGACCTTGTTATGACCTATGAGGGGGTGGTGTCCAGTGTTGGCGTGTCCAACTAATTAAACACAAAATTGTGGAACCTCACCCGTCAATATTAATTAAGGGTGGCGTTTATGTTTAACTACCACTCAACTAAGCCCAACTAAGCGTGTTTAGTGCCTTCGTAATTAACTATCCCATAATCCCATCTACTTAATACTCAAATCCGATTGTTAAAAAATAATTTCTACCAATTAGAATGGTGCCAGGTGAACAAATGTATGTTAATACGAGCTAACGAAGGAATCCACCAAGACTGAGGATTTGGAAGATGGAGTCGAACGCACGCAAAGTCACCCGCCGGCCGCCACACAAAAAGGAGCAGGCTTACGTGGCAGTCTGAGCTGGACATATCAACTACCTGGATTGGCCACCAAGTGACACCATGGCGGGTACAGGCTGGCACTCGACACCACATCGCCACTCGCAGGGACAGCGTTACTATTCCACGCCCTTTCTTTCCTCTCGCAACAAAGACTACTAAATAGTAATTAATGTTTTCATTACCATTCAATTAATTAAGAAATTAAATCCAAAAAGACCTTATTACTGCAGCTGTGCAGCAGCACAGTATAAAGATTAAAGAAAGAAAGAAATAAAAAGGAAGGGGTCAAGGCAGGAAATATATATAGTAGGGTTGAGTCCAAGAACAAGAAGGCGTGCTTTGCGCTTCCAAAAAACAGAGAGAGAAAGGGAAGGAGGGAGCAAATTCCCTAGTGTTCAACGGAGAAGTTCAAGATCCCACAAACAAAGCAAACCAGCCGGCAAGGAGTGAACAGAGGTTGTATTTTGTGGGCGTGTTACAGAGGTGTTCTGGTTTTGGTGAAAAGGGCAAAGGAGGACAAGGAGGAGTTTTCCGGGGATCTGCTTTGCTTTTGTCTGATTTTGTCCGCGTTGATAAATCTTCACCAAAGGAGAAGGGTGTTTCGCTTTGCCCCGCAGCCTCCTCATCGAATTGTCTTCTTCTTGTTCCTGTTCCTTCTCCCCGACGAGGACGGATTCGGGTTTATAAAGGAGCAGAAGACACAGAGTCTCTCTCAGCCAACAGCAGCAGCAGAAGAAGAAACTCCCAGAAAGAAAACAGAGTTTAATTGGCTCTGTTTTTTGAAGTCTAAGAGATCAGAAATCCGGTAGAGAAAAAAACATGGAGTGGAGTGCTTGTCTAGATGAGTACGAGAAGCTTGTTATTAGGATGACTACTCCGAGGTTCGTATCTCTTCTTCTTCTTCCTTTCCCCCTCTTTCTGGGTTTTTTTTTTGTTCCCAAATTTGCTGTGTCTTTTCTTTCCGGGCTAAATCGTTCAGTTTCGTTCATCTGGGTTAGCCTCCCTTTTCCGTTTTCCGGCGAATTTTCTCGCCGAACCCACTTCAGCGATTAGCGCGGCGGTGGGTCGGTGGATTTATAGTTTAATTTTTGACCCAGTCTCTGTTTTTCTTCCTTTTGCCCTGTTTTTTCAAATTAATTTTCCTTCCAGTTTTCTATTCCGACCTCGTGGTTTCTGGAATTTCAACTAATTTTCTCTCCGTGTAAACGCGTCCCCTGAATTTCTTCGCTCTCTGACTTGACCCTTTTTCTCTTCTCTTCTCCAATTTACAGGGTAGTCATCGACAATGCCGTTTGCCCAACTTCCACCGTCGTCAAGGTAACAATCATTCATTCAAAACCCACCCAAGAAACAGAGCTCCACCCTTCTCCCCAGTTATCGCTTCAAGCAAAAGAAATTGACTAATCGGACCATTCTGCCTCTCTCTCTCTCTCTCTCTCTCTCTCTCTCTTTCAGGTTGACAGTGCTAGGAAACATGGCATTTTACTCGAGGCAGTTCAGGTCCTCACGGATCTCAACCTCTCCATTAAGAAAGCTTACATCTCCTCTGATGGAAGATGGTTCATGGACGGTGAGCCTTCCCTTTCTTTCCTTCTAAAACCCCCCTTTAATGGCGTAATTTTTCATCCATGTTCGGTTAAAATCCGTTGATTAATTTTCTTTCCCCTAATTTTCGATTCCTTTTTCTCTCTGCAGTGTTCCATGTAACCGATCTTAATGGAAACAAGCTAACCGACGAGAGCGTAATTAACTACATCGAGCAGGTAATTAACAGTAATTAGATCGCGTTTAATCCGTAATCAACACGGCAAATTAACTGATCTTGTTAATATGGAATTGGTAATCAAATTTACATCCCCTTTTGCTTGCGTTACAGTCTCTGGGCTCTTTTCACTACGGCCAAACCAACGATTTCAGCGGCTCAACCGCTCTGGAACTGACCGGAACCGACCGGGTCGGGCTGCTCTCTGAGGTCTTCGCCGTGTTATCCGACCTTCAATGCAGCGTCGCCGACGCCAAAGTCTGGACTCACAATGGCAGGATTGCTTCCCTAATCCACGTCACGGACTCCAACTCCGGCGCCCCGATCGAGAACGTTCAACTGATCTCTCTAATTGAGGCCCGATTGAGGAACGTGTTGAAGGGGGACAACGACATCAGGAGCGCCAAGACCTCTGTTTCGATGGCAGTCACACACACCGAGAGGCGGCTTCACCAGATGATGTTTGCTGATCGCGACTACGAGAGGAAGCCCATTTTGGAGAGCGTTCCAACACATTCTCCCGTGGCGGTCACTGTCCAAAACTGGCTCGAGAGAGGTTACTCGGTGGTGAACGTTCAAGCCAAGGATCGTACTAAGCTGTTGTTCGATGTGGTCTGCACTTTGACCGACATGGGGTACATTGTGTTCCATGCCACTGTCAACACCATTGGAGACAGGGGATACATGGTAATGTTCTGCTCCAATTCTTAATCACAATAGACTACATGAATGGAGTTTTTCCATTGTTACATGTTTGTTTAAAATTGCTAAATTTGTGGATGGTGTTCTTGCTGGCAGGAATTTTACATTAGGCACCAAGACGGGACTCCAATCAGCTCGGAGGCCGAGAGGCAGCGAGTGATTCAATGCCTAGAAGCTGCGGTCGAGAGAAGGGCGTCGGAGGGAGTGAGGCTCGAGCTGTCCACGCCAGACAGGCAGGGCCTTCTGGCGGACGTGACAAGGACATTTCGAGAGAACGGATTGAACGTGACGAGAGCTGAGGTGTCGACGATGAAGGAGACGGCTCAGAACGTGTTCTATGTTACGGATGTGATGGGGAAATCGGCGGATGGGAAGATTATCGAGTCGGTGAGGGAGAAGATAGGGTTGAGTTGCTTGCGGGTGAAGGAACTGCCGCCCCTGGTGTACCACAAGGAAGGCAGGGAGAGGGACGAGCAGGCGGTTGGTGGTGTGGCTGGGACTGTGCTGCTGTCGTTGGGTAGCATGGTGAGGAAGAATCTATACAATTTGGGGTTGATTCGATCTTACTCATGAAGGAAGCTAGTTGCAATTTGGGTTGGGAATTGGGATATTCTTTGCTTGAGGTTTGTGATTTGTGGGTTTGTGTACATAATGAAAAAAGGGTTTGGAGGCCAAGTAAGTGGGGAATTTGGTGATAGTAAGTAGCTGTAGTGGTTGGGGTTTGGTTGGTTAAATAGATAGGAGATAGAGAGAAAGGAAGAGGGAGAAGGGGAAGATCCATCTTATTAAGGAGTAATGTATTCTAATGATTCTTTCAGCCAAAGAGGGAAAAGAAGGGGTTAGTTTGAAGGTGAAGATTTGATAGAAGATTGGGGGGAAAAGGTGATTATGGGTGTCTTGTGAAGATGAAGAATTAGTATTATGGGGGAAAAGAAAGGATTTTAGGGTTAGATTTGGAGAGATGTGGATGCTGCTTCTTTAGGTAATTAGGTCACATATATTATATGAATGAATAGAGGGAAAATAGAGAATCACACATTTGTACATAACGAACTTATGATAATACTAATGTTAAGAGTTTAATGAAAGTTGATAATGATTCCTTTGGTTGTGTATGATAAAACCCTATAATGATATGAGGAGGCAAGTCCTACAAAATAATTGGAATTAATTAACATGAATTTTAGTCAAGTTTAAATTTGAACTTGTGTGATGAGGATTTAAGGTTTGAATTTAACTGCTTCAATACAAATTATTTACATATATTATTCTTGTTTTTTATTTATTTTTGGTTTAAAATCGGTGACAAAAAGTGGTGTAGCGGCTCTCAACTCGAGCATTGGCTTCTGTACGATGCTTTGGTAATCTCTAGTTCCCGAGTTGTTCATTTACTGCCCGTCTTTCTAAAAAAAAAAGTGGTGTAGCTTACATTATTAATCAATTTCAACTCATAGGCTCAAAAACATTATAAAGCCAATATGCTTAATTAGATTCTAAAGTATTAGTAACATGCAAATCTAAAGAATGTGTAATACACATAACATGGATATTAGCGAGTTGTTGAATTAGCTAGACTATATCCACAAAATAATCCTGAGTCCTTTCTTAGAATTATCTTCCTCAACTCCAACTTCTTGACCAGATCCTTTCTTAAAATTATCTTCCTCAATTCCAACTTCTAGACCAGATGGAACGAATCATTTTCCTTCTCTCATTTTATGGTAGATAAAAGAGTGTTATTCTTATTGTTCTCCACATGCTCATCCCTTTTGCTTCCTTCTTTTCTTATTAAATCAAAGCTGGCAAAATTCACATGATAAAGTGAGACTTTGATCCTTAGAAAAGAGGAGTTTTGGAGGTTGGGACATGATGGGTGGGATGGTGGTAGATGCATAATGGTGGCAAGAAGTAAGGAATAAGGGAATAATATTGTAAGTAAGGGGGAAAGGGGCTGGTAATGGAGTAGGTAAAAATGTAGGTGAATTTGAAATTAATAGTGAAAATGACTTTTCTTTGTTGTTTCTTTGCCCTTAGCAAGATTGCAGCTTCCAGATACATATACAGGCAGCTGGCTGGTCTTACTTTAACCACAGTCCCACACTTGTAATTCCAAATCCATAGTTAATAGTTTTGGCCAAAGTAGGCAATTTCAAGTAAATTTTCTAGATTTTTTCGCTCCATGATTCAATTAATTGCAAAACCAATAAGTAGAGAAAATTGTTATATCAATTGGGGATAAGTAAAATAGGGTTTGTTATAGAGAGGGAGTTGCAAGAGAATCGAAAATACTATTATCTAAGTTTTTTTTTATGTCACTGTACTATAAAATCTACAAAATGTAAGAATTTTATTAGTGAAATAAGATATGAAATTCAAGACGTTACCATTTGTGGACAGCAGCAGCAGTATCTGGGACCTCCTCCAGCAATTGATTGGTTTCCAGGGACCTTTCCCCGAGTGTTTTGCTTCTATTATCCGCTGCTGGTCTCCTCGCAGTCAGCTCCCCTGGATGAGTTCCTTGGCGGCGTGTATCCTGCACGCCTTTGCCTGGGAGCTTTGGAAGGAAAGGAACAACAGAAGCTTCCATGATAAAATGTGTGGGTGGCAGGTGGTTTTTCATAAGATTTGCAGGACTTTACTAAGCTGGGTGAGAGTGACGGGCACTCTAAGTAACTCGCAGAGCGCCGAGTGGTTGTCTCTGATGCATATTCTGTGTCCTCTGCAGAACCGGAGTGACTCTCGTTTGGTCGCGATCCTCGGCAACATCGTGATTCCTCCCGGTCTATAGTTTGTTGTTTCTTTATTTCTTTGTTCCTTCCGTTTACTGCTGTTGGGGCGGCCTGGCCCCTTCGCAGGTTTTTTTCTTGTTCCTTGCCGAATCTTTTCTCTTGATCCGTCTGTATTAAACCTTCTTGTTTGGGGCCTTTTTAATGCATCAATCGCCTTTATAACAAAAAAGATGTTACCATTTGTGAATTAAGAGTTTCACTTTCCCACTGTCCTTTCATTTGGTGGTATTTGGTGGTATGGCTAGCAAATTTGTTGCTCAGTTTTGAGTTGTGACAAAATTTTCAGTAAATTTAGACCAATTAGTTACAAAACAATTATTTCATTCATCTATGTTTAGATTTGTTGTGCATGTATTATCATCTAAGATCGATGAGCCTGAGCATCCAGCCAACTGATAGTCTATCTTGGACGAACCAAACCCGAAAAAATATGTAAATGAAGCTAGATAGATGGCAAATACTTTTAACTTCTCTGAATATAATTGGAAAGGGGCAAAGGTTCCTTAACTAAGAATACTATAGAGGTCGTTTGCTTGTTTGATTTTAAAAATGATGGTTTTGGTTCAAAAAAACTTTTGGATTTATGAGGGATTTGTTGCATTATAGATTTGAAGAGTCTATTGTTTGCATGATAGATTTGATGATATAATTATGATGGATTTGTTACAAATATAACTAGCCATCAAGGATTTACAAATCCCACCCCAATATGTGGGTTTTACAAGTCCGTGGGATCCACGGATTTGGATAAAAAAAAGGAACAAATCCGTGGACCCCACGAATTTAACACCTAACAACAAACAATGAACTTGGCTAAAATTGATCATGTTTGGGATTTGAGTGCCAAATCCATGATCCAAATCCATCAACCAAACGAACCTTTATATCTTATAACTAGTTTTGTGCCCGCCGGATGTGCAGCGAGTGTTATCTGTTTTTACTTTTCCTTCTATTATTTTTTTATTTTTTTCAATGGTATCAGATTCCTAATTTTCATAATTATTTATTATTGTTACCTATTATCACTGCATTATCTGATATGAGGGCTGCTACATTTACTCTATGTTTTAATGATGATCAACAATAAAGTCAAACAACGCTGTAACTTCATCACCGCTTGGACCAACAATTGTCAACTTCATAAGTTGTACATTGTTTAAGCTCGTGTACGCCACCTTACCGAACTCCTATAGAGTTGGTATTTAGATCATGTATTAACGAAGTTTGGCACATGATGCTATACCATATTCTCTAATAGGTGAACCACGGTCTCTAATTCTCTAATCCAAATCGTACGATTCATTTAATGAAAAATAATAACCACCGATTCTTATTTGTCAAAATATATTAACATACAAATAATAGTATGAATGAAGGTGCATATTATACCTCGAGTGTACGCTAGCCTTTTCCACCATTATATCAAAGTACAACAAAACTATTCTGCTATGCTTCTTACCTTCAACATTGGACGAATGATATCAAAGCAAATGCTAGTTATTGAGACACTTTGTCTTCACTTCACATTATCATCCAATATTAAATATGTGACTGACTGTAACTAAAGTTGTGTGACTTAATACAAACATAAAGGCGCTATGTTGTGCAGTCAGTATAGTAACTGAATTTACAGGACATCATCATGATATGATCCTGCGTTGATTTTATAGGACACCGGTCCGGGTACATCCCACCCTGGTATACATGACATCGGTTAGGGTATATGACCCGCAGTGGATTTATAGGACACCAGTCTAGGTACGATCTGTGGTGTTATGCATGACATCTACTATACTACCCGAGGAATGCATGACTTGACAAATTAAGATGTAAAATGCAATGAACCTAACCATGCATGTGATTGAATCCTTGTATAAATATTACTTATGATGTGGTTAAGTGATGACTTTCTATGATGTGATATATGAAATGTGCATGTCGATGATGATGGTTTTCTATGGTGTTTTATACAATGATTTAAGATTGGATGATATGATGTTTTGCTATGTTGGGACAGGGGTTACATGGTAATGCCAGTATGATGTGATATTTGATGCATACATGTTTAAACATTGAGCTATCAAGAGGCTGGGTGATTGTCCTTATGTTGTGATGTATGAATTCTTTGAGTTTGAGACGATGAATGTGATATGGCATGTGGTGATGAATGGATGTTTATTTGACTGAATAAGATATATCATATCGCATGTATCTTGACAGTTAAGTTGAGGCAGAAGGCCTGAGAGGTGGGTGACGGAAAACTGAATACTCCATGTTCTGCCATGGTCAATATGAGGGACAATAAGCCATTTTGAGCTATACTCTTAAAGGTAACGGAGAAGATATAGATCATTATCTTATGAGTAAGGCTGTCCGGCGAGTATAACTGGTTACTAAAAACAGTAATAGTAATATATGTATTAGGGTGTCATATTAAGTAAATATTAAAATAATTATTTACATATCAACCATCATATATCCAATAGTTTAAGATTCGTTTACAAATCTTGCTTAACTTAGGTGTTATTCATCTGAATATGACTCAAAGTTGCACATCTACACTCATGTATGAAAAAGAAAGGAATTTATGTCAAACAATAAAAAGAGAAAAGAAAGGAATTATAATTACATTAGGAAAAAAGTAAAGACAATGTGTTTTATAATTGTGCATGGAAGAATATTTAATGACGTATGAAAAATGAAAAGAGAAAGAAGTCGGAATAACATAAAAGAAAAGATAATGATATCATTTTAAGATGCGAGAAATGCCAAATTCAATCCTAAAAATGACAAATGCATTATGTATATGTACATGACTTTTTTTTTAACTTCTTTCACCAATTGGTCACAAACATATTTAAACCATATAACCATAATTCGGTTTTGAAAAATATACAAAAAAACATTTGGTGACCATTGGTGTCTAGTGATATTCTGAAACACATGAAATTTTGTGTATATATCAATGTACCATATGACTAAAATATGTTGATATATTTTATATATTTATAGTAAGTATTTTCTAACAAACTGCAACATATCTACATTGGTTCAGATATTTATAGTAGTTCGTACAAATAAAATGTTAAATTCTTCGTGTTCTAGAATGCGGAAGAAGATTATTCTTTACTTTTCATTTTTTCAATTTTAAAAGAAAATCACATGTCAAATTATGTAAAAGTTTATAATTGTGTACCAACTAAATTTATGCTTTTCGGATTTTTTTAATTATTTGTAAGAAATTATAAACAATTTTGAAACATATTATAAACTAAAGATAATTTATTTGTAGATGTTAATGATTTTC